TCAGTCCAGAGTTCAGTGTCCAGAGGTTGGTTTGGAATACACCGTGTTTTATTTTATTAATGTCATACCCACCCGTGAAATCAGACCTGTCAATGCGAAGTGTGCCAAATAAAATACAACACGGTGTATCCCGCATCACCCTCACTTGAGTTCACATTGTCCCCAAATCACTTGAGTTCACATTGTCCCCAAATCACTTGAGTTAACATTGTCCCCAAATCACTTGAGTTAACATTGTCTCCAAATCACTTGAGTTAACATTGTCCCAAAATCACTTGAGTTAACAGTCTCCAAATCACTTGAGTTAACATTGTCCCCAAATCACTTGAGTTAACATTGTCCCCAAGTCACTTAAGTTAACATTGTCCCCATATCACTTGAAGTTAACAGCATGAAAGTTCATCTGAGTTGGTAAATATATTATGAAAAACTTAAACTGTTCTCCAACTCAAAATTTGACTCACCAGAAATTTTCGACTGAATCACTCAGTCTTCCTCAGCTATCTGACCCAAATGCTGTGGACACGTGATTTTTCCCACGTGTGACGTCAGCAAAGGGTCAAAGGTTGTCTGAAGTCGATATCGCCCCCCCCCCGTCTCGGTTGAGCGATGGTTGAAGTGACCTGATGTATATGGCCTCTTTTATGCCTCTCTTGAAGTAATCCTGTTCGGTATCCAAGATTCTGACCCCCTCCAGATATCCACTGTGTCCCGGTGATTCTATGTGGATGTACTGTGACACCTCAGATGCAACATAACTGGGTCGTCTATGTTCTAGAAACCTGGTTTTTAGTAAGCGCTCAGTTTCCCCGATATACGTTTCCCGACAGGGGCCTCTGTTGGTGTTTCCCTGGAAACTTATGTGGTAGATAACCCCACACTTGTCCTCCTTGGGAGTTTTGTCCTTAGGTGCCACAAGGAGCTATCTTAACGTACGATGAGGTCTAAAACAGGTACTCATTCCGTGTGCAGCAAAGATTCTACGTAGGGGCTCAGAAACACCCTTTACGTATGGGAGGACTACAAGTGTTTTCTGTTTTTCCCTCCCGTTCCCTGACTATCGTGGGGTTTAGACCGGGGTTGTCTAGGATCGGAGGCTTTCTTAATGGGCCACTGAGGGTAGCCACACTTCTTTAGGGCTTCTGTGACGTGATCGATCTCGCTACTTCTATCCGCAGGATCACTGATGATGGTATTAGCTATGTGTAAAAGAGTCTTGATTACTCCCAATTTGTGGTCCAATGGATGATTTGAGAAAAATTTAGATATTGGTCCGTGTGTGTCGCCTTACGGTATATGTTAAGCCGCAGGGACCTGTCCTGGTTGATTGTTGTTAGAGTGTCTAGGTTAATGTTAATCTGTTCAATGTTAAATCAGTTGAGTTAGCATTGTCCCCAAATCTGTTAAATGTTAAATCACTTGAGTTGATATTGTCCCCAAATCACTTGAGTTAACATTGTCCCCAAATCACTTGAGTTAGCATTGTCCCCAAATCACATGAGTTAACATTGTCCCCAAATCACTTGAGTTCACATTGTCCCCAAATCACTTGAGTTCACATTGTCCCCAAATCACTTGAGTTCACATTGTCCCCAAATCACATGAGTTAACATTGTCCCCAAATCACTTGAGTTCACATTGTCCCAAATCACTTGAGTTAACATTGTCCCCAAATCACTTGAGTTAACATTGTCCCCAAATCACTTGAGTTAGCATCGTCTCCAAATCAATTGAGTTAGCATTGTCCCAAAATCACTTGAGTTTACGTTGTCCCCAAATCACTTCAACTCCCAACTTGACAGACTTTATTTTGTTGAATTCCTTTGGAAAAAAGACACATGTCCGATGAAACTTTTACGTCAAAGTCGTATCAGCCACATCTTTATGCAGAGTGGCACATAACGCACTTGACGAACTTTATCCAAGTGTTTATTGTTTTTACCATTCACATCATCACATGTTCGCGCCACTCCTACACCAATGTAGGAGTGGTGTAGGAGTGGTCTCATTAGTCTCATAGATGAAAAAAGCCAGTGGCACATACGGGCACCTGCAAGTACAGTGTACTAAAGAAAAGTTACGTTTAGCCAATAAGCTGGTGGTTCAAGACAAACACGGCGCCTACGCAATCCTCTGTATATAAGTGGCCGCATCAGCGCCTGACTTCGCACTTCTTCGAGACACAACTTCAGACAACACAGACGTCTGAGAGACCCTCACATCCACCTTGCGCAGCGCTTTACTAGCAACCAACAGTTGGGGCGACAGCTTCCAAACAGTGAGTTTAATTTGTGGTATCTTTCTACCTGCCTAGCTGCCTCCAAGTGACGCGGTCAATAGCCATGGACGCTGCTTTATACTCTCTTATACTATGTTTTGTGTCCTGCACAATATGCTATTTTTCTTGGGGGCGGGGTGCCTTCTCCGGGGTCTAGTGTTCCGGGAAAAAGGCCCGTGGACCAGGGATTGTGGCGGTCTGTTAATACATGACCAAAATTACTTTGACTGAATTTCCATTATACTGTAGGCTATTTTAATGTGTAATGCTGAGAATCTCCGCCTAGTTGGAACCAGTTACGAAATTGGACGGATCATTGTATTTCTTCCATCGCGTCACTGCTATTATGTATAGGAGCCTGGTTTATGCAATGACTAGTACATAGCACAAGCTACATTCTGTAGAAGGGCTACATCTTTAACCCGGCGTTACACAGTCAATGATTTTGCCGGGAGGTCTACAAATCCAAAAATCGCCGTATAGTCGAGCGTATTGTTCGCCCATAAAAGCTACAATATTAAATTTGACGAGCCTCATGTACAGTGAACATCCTTAAAAATTGAAAGATGAGCGCGCATAATATTGCAAGTCAAACGCCGCACGTCAATTGTCAATAAAAGTAATTTAAGTTTCTGCCTATCCGAAAAATAACGACGAGTCTATAATCTCAACCACCGACACAGGATTGAGAGCAAGTAGCAAAATTTTGTTCTGCCTATTCGTAAAAGAACGACGAGTCTATAGTATAATCCACCGACACAGGATTGAGCGTAAGTCGCCGTATTTTGTTCTACGTATTTGTTTTGACTATTCGTAAAAGAACGACGAGTCTACAATCTTAACCACCGACACAAGGTTGACCGCACGGCGTATTTTCTTCTACTTATCCGTAAAAGATCAAAACTGCAATCTCAACCACTGGCATAGGATTGAGTGCACGGTGCCGTATTTTGTTCTGCTTATCCGTAATGCGCTAGGATCCCAAAATGGTTCTCGGTCAAGCAGACTTATAGGTCAAAAGGTATGATATAAAAGACAACAAAGCACAAAAAGGTAACAAAATCAATTGGAACTCTTTGCCTATATTATCAATATATATTATTGATTTTTCGTTAATCGAAACAGCCGGCCCGGTCCCGGTTTTAAAATGTCACGTCAGCATAAAAGAACGACGAGTTACAATCTCAACCAACGACATGTGCGCATGTCGCCGCACTTTGTTCTGCCCATCCATAAAAGAACAAATCTACAATCTTAAAGACAAACGCATGATTGAGCTCACGGCACCGTATTTTGTTTTGCCTATCCAAAATAGAATGGCGAGTCTAATTCTACAATATCAACAACCGACGCAGAATTAAGAGAATTGAGCGAACGGCGCCGTGTTTTTTTCCTGCCGATCTGTAAAAGAACGAGTCTACAATTTAAACTACCGACACAGAATTGAGCGCACGGCACGGTATTTTGTTTTGCCTATTCGTAAAATAACGACGAGTCTGCAATCTCAACCACCGACGCATTATTGAGCATAAGTCGCCGTATTTTGTTCTACGTATCTTTAAAACAACGAACGAAGTTACAATCTCAACCACCTACAACGTATTTTGTTCCACTTATCCGCATAAGAACAAGACTTAAGTGCACGGCGCCGTATTTTGTTCTGCTTATCCGTAATGCCGGGGTTACATTTTCTAAACGGTTCTCTGTCAAGCAGACTTATAGAACAAAAAGTATGATATAAAAGACAACAAAGCACAAAGAGGTAACAAAATCAATTGGAACTCGTTGCCTACATGTATATTATTGATATGTATCGTTGATTTTTTATTAATGGGAAAAGCCTGCCCAGTCCCGGTTTGGAAATGTCATAAAAAGAACGACGAGTTACAATCTCGACCAACGACATGTGCGCATGTCGCCGCATTTTGTTCTGCCCATCCATAAAAGAACAAGTCTACAATCTTAAAGATCGAAGCATGATTAAGTGTACTCTCCAAGCAGAGGTTTGGGTTTGGGGTTACTTTTGGCGTGTTTTTTGGCTTTCTTTACCGGGGTTTCTTTATTGCACTGGAATTTTTTTCCCAATTCCAGTACAAAAGATAAACCCCGATACAAAAAGCCTAAAAACACGCAAAAAACCCAAACCCAAACCTCTGCTTGGAGAGTAGATTTTGCGTACGGCGCCGTATTTTGTTCTGCCTATCCGAAAAATAACGACGAATCTATAATCTCAACTACTGACCCGACGTAGGATTGAGTGCACAGCGCCGTATTTCGTTCTACCCGTCCGTAAAACAACGTGTCTACAATCTAAACTACCGACGCGGGATTGAGCGCAAGTCATCGTATTTTGTTCTACGTATTTGTTTTGCCTATTCGGAAAAGAACGACAAGCCTACAATCTCAACCAACCATGCAGAATTGAGCCCAAGGCGTTGTATGTTAATTTGCCCATTCGTAATCAAAGACGCGTTAATAATTTTAACCAACCAGACGGGATGGAGGGCACGGAGCCGTATTTTATTCTGCCTATCCTTCAAAGAACGACCAGTCTACGATCTTGAACACGACATACGATTCAGCGCCTTGCACCGCATTATTGAGCACAAGTCGCCGTATTTTGTTCTATTCCACGGCGGTTTCTCTGCGACCTCAAATTGGCCTGAGCGCGGAGAGAGCGTCAAAGTCGCCATGAGAGCGCGATGAGAGTGCCACGAGCGCCATGAGCGCCGTCACCTCGGGGAAGGTACGAAACCGGCTCGTACCATCGCCATGAACGCGCCGAGGACGACGATGCAACGGTGAGCGTCGTGAGAGCACCGCGAGAGCGCGCAACGGCCTTAATTATCTCAGCAATTTATCAGCGTTTAAAAGATATTCATTTCCAAACATTTCTTTCCGAAATCCACAACGATAATAAAGTTGATAATTCAAAAAATAAACTTCGAACGTACAGATTATTAAAACACTCATATAATGAAGATTATCTTAAGATCGCAAATGTACGTCACAGATCTGCCATTACTAAACTAAGAATCAGTTGTCACAATTTGCGAATTGAATCAGGAAGACATAACCGCACTCCTCTAGAACAAAGAATCTGCCAATATTGTAGTTTAGGTAAAGTAGAAGACGAGGCACATTTTATTGTGGATTGTTCCATGTATGACAGCGAAAGAAACATTCTTGTCGATTTTGTGTCAAGCAAATACTCCCAATTTAAGTATTTGAATAGTATAGGGAAATTTATATTCCTTGCAGTCTTTAACAAACCAGCTCTAACTACTCATACAGCCAACTACATTTATAAGATTACCAGAAAGCGAAAGGAAGTTGAAAGTACTTGTGTACTATAGCCGTTTTATTATCAACATTGATGTACTTTGTCAATATGTGACCTGTCTTTAGCTCAGTGGGGCAAAATGTACAATAAAGGTCTTCATTCATTCCTTCATTCATTCAATATTAATTTATGTTGAGGTAACATTTCCAAACGGAGGTCCGGTCGGGCTGTTTCGATTAACGAAAAATCAACAATTTGTATCAATGATATACGCAAATAGGCGTATATCATTGAAAAAAAAGACCGGGCGCTGGATTGGAAATGTGACCTCAGCGTTAGATACAAAACATGGCGAACCCGTATCAAAAGGTAGACATGGCCTAAGTCTGGTCAGACTGCTCCCGAACTTCAGCCAACTTTTGACACACTCATAAACTCAGACACACACACAAACAAAAACAATACCTTCATTTTTCATGGATGGAAGAATCCTTGTCCTTGTCGTCTGTCCTCCCATTGCAGCGGGTTATTTGGTAAACTGGTGGCGCGAATTGCGACTAATAATGTTTTCGGTAAACATTTCCCCCTTTTACCACATTTATTTTATGTTTTTTTAATCACCCAGGTGAACTGCTGGAAACCTGGAGACAGGATGGACCCGCGTGTGTCGCTACCCGTGGGGCTGCTCGTCCTTGTCATTATGGTCACTGGTGTGACTGGTCAAGGTACGGTTTTCAACATTCTATCATAATGTTTATTTATGAGACTGTTGCAAGTCAGCACATATCACTTAACATCTCACAAGAAGGAAGAATTATCCAAGAATCAATATAGACATTTTCTTAGCTTAAGTACTATAAATACGATCTTTAAAATATCAATAGCAGTATTCTCTTGTTCTAAATGTGAAACAAGAAATGCCGACATTTGCTTTGGATCAAATGTAGCGGATGACTTCACCACATTTCACGACATGGCAGGGAAAGAGGGAAAAACACAAGGGAAAACAAGAGTTCCGAGATCCTCCATGAAATATGGGCTTGCTTTGTCATACTTCCTTTCAACATGTCCTCATTAATTATGCAAATGACATCTACATTAACATAATATATGTATAGTGTTGTAAACCTTTAAGTAACTTACACATGTCGAGAGGTATAAAATTCCCATCATTCACCAATAAGGAGTCACAGAATTTTCACATTAATTATGCAAATTAGGTCATCATTAGCATAATTGGTATCTGTTGATGTTCCTCCTGCCACAGATTAAATAGATTACATGTATAAATGAACTATTATATAAAGCACTACATGCACTAGATGACTACAGCGGCGAAGATGATGATGATGATGATATAAAGCACTGTAACTATAGAATTTCCTCCTTTATCATGCAAATTAAGTCCTCATTTGCATAATTTGCATTTTAGTATGTACAACTCTCCCTCAGCTACCTACACACCAAACATGATGAAAATACGTTGTTCCTGGCATCTGGACTTATTAGCTTTTAAAGATTTCCCCAGAAAGTCTCATGCAGTTCCAGAACAAGCTGCTAGGGGTACTAAACGCACACCACTTATTCCTGACAGGAAAAGCTATCTGTCACCAAAAAGTCAAGACCATAGCATGTTCAGGACAAAAGATACAAAAACCGGAAGTTATGCTACAGTACCAAGGTCATCCACCAGGAGGCCCATATTTGACCTTGACCTTTGTCTTCCTAACACTTACCAACATACCAAATATCATCATAATCCATAAAGGCGTTATGAAGTTATGCTGCCTACAAAGTTGCGGAAACACACACAGACACACACAGACTGACAGACACACAGACAGACACGCCAAATACAATACCTCCATTTTTCATGGAGGTAATAACGATGGTTTAAGAACGTTACCATCCCCACTACAATGAGATTGTTGCGCTCCATCGTGTTACTTATCAATTCTGTGCCCTCTTCCGCAGGAATATGGCTGCGACGGGATTCGTCATGGGTCGTGGACTCCACAGGTACACCGTGGGTCGACAACGGAGTGACATACGATGCCGCCAAAGCCTTGGATGGAGACACTGGTACCTACTGGAACGTCATAGATACCGGGCAGAACTACAACAACTGGTACATCGTGCTGGACATCGCAGCGCCTCAAACTCTGACGCGCGTCGCAGTGAACAGCCACGGAGACACCACCCACGACATCGCAGCCTTCAAGTTGCAAAGTTCTCAGGTTGGGAGTCCGTACAGCTGGGAGGACGTCGTGTCCGTCGATAACGTGCAGGGAGGGACGGACCAGAGGCAAGAGTTCGGTGGGTTCCAGGGAACAGCGCGGTACTGGAGGTTCGTGGTCACCCGGACCCACGGGGGCTGGCAACCTTATCTCACTGAACTCAACCTCTACAGCATCTCGTCGCCAGGTATGTTTTCTTCTTTCTTTGGTCGGGTATACAGTCTGATTGCTCCAGTAGCCGTTCCACGTCTGTCTTTTCTTTCAAGTATAAAGACAAGAGTTCCGAGATCTCATACCTCCATGAAATATGGGCTTGCTTTGTCATACTTCCTTTCAACATGTCCTCATTAATTATGCAAATGACATCTACATTAACATAATATATGTATAGTGTTGTAAACCTTTAAGTAACTTACACATGTCGAGAGGTATAAAATTCCCATCATTCACCAATAAGGAGTCACAGAATTTTCACATTAATTATGCAAATTAGGTCATCATTAGCATAATTGGTATCTGTTGATGTTCCTCCTGCCACAGATTAAATAGATTACATGTATAAATGAACTATTATATAAAGCACTACATGCACTAGATGACTACAGCGGCGAAGATGATGATGATGATGATATAAAGCACTGTAACTATAGAATTTCCTCCTTTATCATGCAAATTAAGTCCTCATTTGCATAATTTGCATTTTAGTATGTACAACTCTCCCTCAGCTACCTACACACCAAACATGATGAAAATACGTTGTTCCTGGCATCTGGACTTATTAGCTTTTAAAGATTTCCCCAGAAAGTCTCATGCAGTTCCAGAACAAGCTGCTAGGGGTACTAAACGCACACCACTTATTCCTTACAGGAAAAGCTATCTGTCACCAAAAAGTCAAAAGATACAAAAACCGGAAGTTATGCTACAGTACCAAGGTCATCCACCAGAAGGCCCATATTTGACCATGACCTTTGTCTTCCTAAGAACTATCAGCATACCAAATATCATCACAATCCATAAAGGCGTTATGAAGTTATGCCGCCTACAAAGTTGCGGAAACACACACAGGCAGACAGACAGACACACACACACACACAGACACACAGACAGACACGCCAAAATCAATACCTCCATTTTTCATGCAGGTAACAAGCTGCTAGGGGGACCGAACCCACACCACTTATTCCTTACAGGAAAAGCTATCTGTCACCAAAAAGTCAAGACCATAGCATGTTCAGGACAAAAGATACAAAAATCGGAAGTTATGCTGCAGTACCAAGGTCATCCACCAGGAGGCCCATATTTGACATTGTCCTTCGTCTTTCTAAGACTTATCAGCATACTAAATATCATCACAATCCAGAAAGGCGTTATGAAGTTATGCCGCCTACAAAGTTACGGAAACACACACAGACAGACAGACAGACACACACACACACACACAGACACGCCAAAAAACAATACCTCCATTTTTCATGGAGGTAACAAGTCAATACATTGATATAACTATGGTATGAAGTGACAACAGTTGGATAGCAATCCCCTACATTTTTGTTAGGATTTTTAATTGCATAATGCAAACTTTGATTCAAATGCTGGAGCAGGAAAGCTTGACATACGTACCTAACAAAACACTTGAATGCAGTTAATACCGTCAATATGGCATGGCTTTACACAGGTGAAGCCATAATTAAAGTGCAAAGAAGATTCCGGAAGATGGCAACCCATGTATTTTACATGTATTTACTATATTTCTCTGTTTTTTTTTCTATCCCCACTGTTTCTCCATTTTGTGTCACCCTGGTAAGATTACGAACTGCATTTTATCTTCATCATATAGAAATCTAATTTCTTTAAATAATAAGGTCTTGTAAAGACGAAGTTTGAAGTCTATGTTGAGCCTCCTAGTGACTGTCTTCGATGTAGAACTTTTGGTCTAGTTTAGCTAGAACAACTGCTAATATCTTAGCTCAATCGGTATTGAGCAAACGTATTGGCCTCCGAGTGGATAAATCGGCCATAAAGTTTCAGTAGAGCTCTCTTTTGAGTCACGGAGAGGCATTTGTTTTTTTATCAATTCAGTCAAATCAGTTGCATCATGAGCAATTGAGTGCGGAAAATGTAAAAGAAATGCCGTTTTTCACCTTTATGTCGACAAAAACTATACTTGAAATCATGAATTACCAAATTTCTAAGACACGATTTTTAAATCTTTTTTTCCAGTCGTCGACAAATCTAAAAAATCGGGGATTTTGGGTGATATACGTTGCCAATCTTATACGGTGTTTGCCTAAAAACAGGACTTGGACTGGCGCCCCGAATCCCAAAGAAATCGTCGTTCGGAGCGAGATTAAGTAATTTAACGTAAACATCAAACCTATGTAAAGACGATAATTTCATTTTATTATGACGGAATTTACCCTTCAATACTATTTGTTTATTTTCAAATGTTTGACGGGTTGTCCAAAACAGGCTAAAATTGCGTCTTGTAACCCGATACTTTTTCGAACCCCCCTACAAGGGGAAAGAATAACCGTTAACAGACCGCGGTGAACTCAGTAAACTACTGAGATACCTACGACAGCTGGTCCTCAGTATAGTGCTGAACAGAAATAAGTCAACTCTCCCAGAAACCCAGAAACAATCGTTTCTTAGTACAGTACAATTCAGACAACACAGCGTTCTACTCTTCCAGGAACAACTGTTTCTCCGTACACCACTGGCCAGACGGCACAATGGACAAGTCCTCCAGGAACAACTTTTTTTCAAGACACTACCTACGAGTATCAGATAACACAATGGACAACTCTTCCAACAACCGTTTCTCAGCACACCACTAAGCAGACGACAAGCCTAGCAGGTATGGGAGGCACAAAATTTGATCTCTTCATTAGCTGTGTAAGTTTTTCCTCAACATTCTTTTATACTGTTTGCTTATTTAATGAGACTGCTTCGAGTCAGCATCTAAACAATCTTACAAGAAGGCTAAAATACACTAAAGACATTTCCTTACCAAGACAAAAGTACTATAAATGTTAATAACAGTAAAAAAGTGGCAAATGCATTCAGCTGTTGTTCAAAAGATCTTGTAAGTTACATTAAGTGCACAAAAATATCTTGATTCCGGAAAAAAAATTTACGGAGGAAAATTGTAAATTTTTATCTAAAAAGTCCGATTTTTCCCCACAATCTCAAGTGGAGTATGCCAAACTACGACCCTGAGTGTAGTCCAAGTCTTGGCACTGCCAGGTAGACATTTGCAATATTCATCTACTTTCATTTCCTGTCTTCCTCCGAACTGTATCAGATAGTGTTTTATTCTCGGCTTTCACATGACGTCATGGGGCTTTCCAAATATGGTTGTTTGCCATGTTGGTGCCCCTGAAATCTCCTCAGTACAGTGCAGTGCCACAGTTTTGATCCATTTCAGCGGGTGACTTTGTTTGTTTTATACTTTTAATCTAGCCCTTTCGGTTTCGCCGCGGTGGCACACTGGAGTTCGTGAATATTTTTTTACCCAAAATACTAGCATGTCACTGTTGGGAACCCATAAGAATTTCACATGACGGCTTGTGATCTTTGTCGACAAAGATTTTGTTGAACTTTTGTCGGCTGCCTTCAGTTTACGGGGTAAATTATCGGCGTTGGGAGAGGGCGAGCATTTGTTTATCGTACTCGTAGTTTTGTTGGTGTTAGTCTTAGAGCTGTTAGTACTCTCACTTTTGCTTGCTATAAAAACAAACACATAATATCCCTAATATCTAGATAACATAACACCAAGACAATTAACAATACAACAAAATATTTCATGGAGGGATGATGTCAACGACTGTTTCTTGTTAAATGTTGGTTTTACTACAGAAGTGACAGACCCGCCTGACGTGAATGAGTGTCTCAGCAGTCCGTGCCAAAATGGCGGGACTTGTCTGAACGGGAGGGGCGAGTACGCCTGTCTGTGCGCTCCTGGGTGGAAAGGCACCAACTGCGAGGAAGGTAACTTTGAATGGGACTTTTTTTTCTTGAAACTCAATCTGAAAGAAACGGTTGTTGTGTATCAATTGATATTCCTTGAGTTCTGGGAGATTTTACATTTTTATATTTGGCTATATGGGATAACGCACGTGCGTTCATGCGTGTATGTGCCCGTGTGCGTGCGTGTGTGTGTGTGTGTCTGTATATGCGCGTGTGCGTGCGTGCGTGTGTGACATTTTACGCATCCAAATATCGTTACTAAAAAGTGTACGTCGTCCCTTGTCAGTGTTGACGTCTCCGGACAACAGGGGAACAGAGTTTGTGGTCGGCTTCCTGCAGAACCACGGAACCAGTCAACTCGAGCTGTTCATCACCAGCGCGAGCTCAGAGCCCGCCACCGTCACCATCACTGCCCCAGGTGCCAGCTACACGGAGCAGCTGGTGGTGACTGACGCAGCTGTGCAGGTGGTCACCCTGCCTCGCTCCGTCATGCTCACCGGACACGAGCGGGCCCAGAAGGGCGTCCTCGTCACCGCAGACCGCGAAATTATCCTGTACGGCGTGAACAAGGAGAAGCATACCACAGACGGCTTCCTGGGTCTTCCTGTCGACGTTCTCGGCAAAGAGTATTTCGTGGCTTCCTACACTCCTTTAAATTTGTATCCATCCGAATTCGCCATATTCGGTGTTGAAGACGGCACCTCGGTCAGCGTCACTCTGAAGGGTACTGTGAGCTATAACGGCAGGGACTACCATGCCGGGAGCGTCATCACGCTCACGTTAGATCGTCTGGAGGCTATACAGTTTCAGGGCAGGCACCCGTCCGACCTTACAGGTACCCACATCGAATCGGACAAGCCGGTGTCCGTTATGTCCGGCGTGCGGTGTGCCAATGTGCCGACGGGTATCACCGCGTGTGATCACCTTGTCGAACAGGTCCCGCCAGTCAACAGCTGGGGACAGCGCTTCGTGACGGTCCCGCTAGCCTTGCGTCGAGGAGGCGACATCTTCCGCCTGGTGGCTGCCAGAGACGGTACCGATGTCACCGTCACTGGTGTAACGCCTCGTACGCTGAACGCATGCGACGTCTGGGAGCTGGACCTTTCGTCTAGCACCTACACGACCATCACTTCCTCGCAGCCCATCATGGTACTGCAGTACAGCAAGGGGCAGAGTTCAGACGGCATCAACACTGATCCCTTCATGATGTACCTGGCTCCGGTTGAACAGTTCGCCGCCGACTACACCTTCGCCACGGTCGACTCGCTGTCCGCGACCTATACCAGCTACGTCAACATCGTCATCAAGACGTCGCAAACGTCCGGGCTGACGTATGACGGCAACCCGTTTCCTTCCTCTACGACCTGGACACCCATCCCAGACACCGACCTGTCCGCCACGCAGCTTCACATCAGCACCAAGGGGACACACAAGATCAAGCACCAATCCGCCATCGTCACCTTCTCCCTGGTGTACTACGGCTTCTCCTCCTACGACTCCGTGGGTTTCCCCGGGGGTCTGCGATTGGCCAGCATCTCTGGCGGGTGTGACGTCACAGAACCAATGGTTGGCGACGGCGTGGACAACGACTGTGACCAACTGGTGGACGAGGAACTACTGAACGGAATGTAAGAGTTTTCATAACTTTTACATTTGTAATATTACAACTTTTGTCAGATAACTTGAAGTCTAAACATGTTTTCTATCATCAGTTTGTACTGTGTTCTTTTGACAAACATGTTGTATCACCGAAAAAGCCTTTCCTTTGCAGAGAAGCCTACTAGGAGAAGCCTTTCCTTTCTGTGCAAACCACATGAAATTTTTTACTATACTAACTTTAATATGTTCATTTAGGGGTGTAATCATGATCATCAGTTATTGAACACAACAAAGGTCTTGAGTTTCAGCCCTTCTCCAGCCAATGTCGAAAGTTAGAATAAGATGCACCACATTAACATAAACCTTCTAATACCCAGAGATGATGACGGTGACGGTCTCATTGACGAAGATTTGGCTGACGTCAACCATGACGTGGATGAGTGTGAACTCGGATTGGACGACTGTGACCCTGACGCAGTCTGTGTCAACACACACGGCTCGTACAAGTGCGAGTGTAAACCTGGATTCACCGGAGACGGCACGACCTGCTGGGGTGAGTAACTCTTTTTTGTTGCAAACGACAATAGTTAAAGTTGTATGGAAGTTTTTTTTTTCTGTTTTCTACTTTCTTGTTAGTCTCGGTATAATATTCAAGGGAAGTGTCACGAAATAATCAAAGATCCAAAAAGAAGCAAAATGGGGATAAACTAGATTTTAAAAGAGTTGTCGGTGATATCGTTGGTTCTAACTGTTTCTATTTCTTCTCTTTTCCAATTGTCTTTGATGCATCCAGCCAGGAGCACGTGTGTTGCCTTTGGAGACCCCCATTACATCACCTTCGACGGGCACATGCACCACTTCCAGGGCGCGTGCACGTACACACTGACACGGAACTGTGGGAACAACACGCTGCCCTACTTCAACGTCAAGACCAGGAACGAAAACCGCGGCGGCAACCTGCGCGTCAGCTACGTCACAGACGTCACGGTGGAGGTCTACAACCACACAATAGTGGTGGAGAAGAACAAGATTGTGTATGTAAGTATGCCAGATACACACACACGTGTATATTTTGTTTTTTGACTTCCAATTAATGCATTCCTGGGTCAGACGCCGGGCTAGACTTGTCATTCTTCATTTTATTGTTAAAAAAGTAACAGAAAATCGTACTGACTTCTGTATGTACTGTGCACATGGCAGTATCTAGGCATTAATTTACAGCCAAGCGTACGATTCCTTCTTCCCAGATTGACCAGCTGATCACAACTCTGCCTGCCGAACCACGGGCTGGTCTAACAGTCAAGTTCGTCGGTCGGTACGTTACCATAGAGACAGGCTTTGGGCTGAAAGTGTCGTTTGACGGGAGTCATCGCGCTGAGATCGTCCTGCCAGACCTGTACAACGGCGCCCTCTGCGGACTGTGTGGGAACTACAACGGCGACGTCAGTGACGAATTCCTGACACCTAACGGCACGCAGGCTGCTGACGTCATGCAGTTCGGCAACAGTTGGCGGGTTAAGAGGGATGGCGAAAAGTAAGTGTTTTTTACTCTGGCATGAGCACCCTTACGCATGTATAACAAATCACGATAGATTGTAGCCTCCTTTTCAGGCGTTCCCGGATCGGTCTTTTTTTGGGGGGGGGGGGGTATTTTCTTATCAATCGTAGATAGCTTCGGTCGGTTGCCGACCGGAGCTTCTATTGCTTGCGATCTACGATTGATAAGAACCCCCCTCCCCCCCAAAAAAGAACGACCGATCCGGGAACGCCTGAAAAGGAGTCTAATACATTGAGGGTTTGGCAATAACGTTTCCAATTCGTAATTACTGTTATTATTATTTCGTGCGTATTACTTCAAAAACTCCTCCGCGACCGAGAAGGACATTTTGGCTATATTCACCTGCGCATATCATTAACTAGTGACGGCAACTTTCATATGTTGAATTCTTGTAGGTGTAACGACAACCCAGAACCCCCCGCGCAGTGCAGTGACGCCCTCCAGCAGACTGTGTCGGAACTGTGCGGAATTCTGAACAACCCGAGCAGCGTGTTCGCTTCCTGCTACTCAACCCTGAATTCAGAGGTATGAACTCATACAGGTCTGTTTCCTTTCGAATCTAGTGTATGCATGAGAATGAACAAGCCTTTCCTTGGAGCTGAACACTGTCCACACATCTTTGATTAGACCTGCCCCTGGTGCTGAATGCCATCTGTCATCTTGCTTATGTGTGTTATGTTTTGGCTGCTTTTCTTTTCGTCATCATTGCTACTGTTTTACAATGTCTTAACTTTTGATGTACATCTTTCCCCCCGCAGGGTACTGTTGAGACGTGCGTGTATGACATGTGTGCCCTGAACGGAGACACCACGTCCCTGTGTAACAGCCTGCAGGCCTACGCCGACTCCTGTGCTGAGGCTGGCATCAACATTGGGACATGGAGGAATGCCACGTTCTGTCGTGAGTCTGGCTTAAGATTTAGTCACATTCTCTGGTACCAATGTATTCAATACCTTCACAGAAAACGACGTGTCCAGCTTACTACGTACATTTTACAGAACAAATGAACAAAAATTTGTTAACTTTAGCTATGAAATATTTCAGTGCGTACATAATCCAAAGTCATTGTCTAACCTGAAATTTCCTTTGCAGCACTCTCCTGCCCCAGCAACAGTCACTACACCTCCTGTGCCAGCGCCTGTCCTGCCACTTGTACAGACGTGTCTGCACCTCAGTACTGTAACCGCACCTGCGTGGAGGCGTGCGAGTGTGATGACGGCTACGTCCTCAGTGGAGGGGACTGTGTGACCAGGCAACAGTGTGGTTGTACTCGTGATGGACGTTACTATGCAGTAAGTACACGACTTCTCGTTAAAACAAAGGCCATGCTTCCGAGGTTTACAAGTCAAGAACTATACCAGTGCTGTTCTTATTGTGTTGTTCAATACTGACAATAGTTGTGATATCTTTTCTCAAAGGTTGGAGAAACATGGGGAGAAGGATGTAACCGCCGCTGCCAGTGCGTCAGTAAGAACAACATCCAATGCACGGAGGTACTGTGTGATGAAAACGCTTTCTGTGGGATCCAGAATGGAATCCAAGGGTGTCACTGCAACAGTGGTTACCAGGGCAATGGGTCTTACTGTGAATGTGAGTATGGATTGCACAATCATTTTAGTAGTACAGTGGTACTAATGTAAGTTGCAAGATCTGTTCCTGTTTGTTTTAAAGGCTTAAGGTTTTATATATACTCATAATATTACAATATACTTATAACTCTACACGTTTTCAGCAGCTGCTTTATTTTCATTAAGAGAACTGCAAATGGTAAACCAACGTTGCTAAGGGAAGTAGATCTAGTAAACCTCTTTAAGTTGTTAATTTAACTGTTTCTCCTTTGCCCACAGTTGTGGATGCCTGTGAGAGCAGCCCCTGTCACAACGGTGCCTGTGCTAATGATAACAATGGTGGATACCTGTGTACATGTGCAGCAGGCTGGACCGGCAAAGACTGTGATGAAGGTAAGTCTTCATTGGGAGGACAACGTTCCTGTTAGTTGTGCTATAGTGGCTAAACTACCGGTAACTTCTTGTACTACAATGTTATTGCTTAGCTGAAGACATGTCATTTTGTTACAGATGTAGATGAGTGCCTGCAGGGATCACACAGTTGCCATGCCAACGCGATCTGCTCGAACACAGAGGGAAGTTATACCTGCACCTGCCAGGATGGTTTTGTAGGAGATGGCCAGAGCTGTACAGGTACAACATCGTTGTCTCTCACATTGTGTTAGAAATTCATCCCATTCTATACTTCATTTCAGTTCATTATTTTGTATTCCACAGAAAATTGATGTTATTTTTATCTCCAATTCTTCCCCTCAGACATCAATCAGGCCTCGAAATTAACTTTTCTTCCTATTGTCCCAGCACTGTCCAAAAAATAAATTTCAGTTGTCTCGAAGTGAGGACAAACTGTCCCCACCTTTTTTTTTTTTGGAAGTATTGCATGACTTCAACTTAAAGTTAACTTTATTTTGCACATGTTCACTCCCATGCGCACTATAATTGCCGAGTATACAGGAAATTCAGGGGACTTTTTAGGAGCCAAAAGCCGGGACGTTTGCCTGATAAAGAACTAAGGGGCTGTCATTCTGATGCTGATTATTTTTCTACCGTCACAAAAATGTCCCAAAGTGTCTTTTTATTTTTGTCCCAACCCAAAGTTTAGTGTTTAGTCTATTTTCACCCTGAATATATATGACTCCAGACTTCTTTCCAGCCAAATCAATAAGATACTGTCTGTTACGATTTGATGCTTGATGATATGAGAATATATTTCCTATCCTAACATTCAAGAGGTCATAAGGCAGGATGGCGGGTCTTGGAAAGCTCCCAACTTTCCCACACCGCTTAAATCCACGATATGGGTGGCTTCCTGGTATCCCAGTAATCATGCCATCTTAAATTTTAAAAAGGCTTCTGTTTTGTTTGTTAGTTAGCCAACATTCTTATGGAGTTTACACCTCTCTATGTCTGTAGCCACCCTCAGTACTCACTTTGGCTGCTTACTGCGACCACAGTTAATTCATTTCGAGTTTCTCCGTTGTTTTCATTTGTTACTATTTACTACAAACGTGAACTAGACCTACTAAAAGACGTACCACGCCGAAACCTCGGATCGCAGCGAGGTGGATGTGCAGTGCTGGCCGAAGAGCCGGGGCCTCTCGTCATGCCAACCAACGGCAGCACTCACAGCTGTTGGAGTTTACGTTTTCGGTCAGGGTCACCTAGAATTCAACTAGTTGCTTTTTATTGGAAGCGTATTGACTGACATCTCAATATGTCAATGCAGACACTGACGACTGTGATGGTGTGACCTGTCAAAATGGTGGAACTTGCGTGGACGGCGTCAACTCCTATACGTGTAATTGTGATCATGGATTTGAAGGAGATCACTGTGAAACAAGTAAGCACTCCTTTTAGGAATGTATAAAGAGGAATGAGATATGTTTATTGCCTTGTCATTTAGAAAAAGATGACATTGAATTGTCGTAATAGAGAGTAATGTCATTGCTGACCATACTTTGTTATACAAGAGACATAATAGAAATCAAGATTCTTTTTCTTGGAAGCATATAACTGACATCCCAATATGTCAATGCAGACATCGACGACTGTGATGGTGTGACCTGTCAAAATGGTGGAACTTGCGTGGACGGCGTCAACTCCTATAGCTGTAATTGTGATCATGGATTTGAAGGAGATCACTGTGAAACCAGTAAGTATCCCTGCTAGAAATGAAGTAACTTGGATGACACTTTAATTACGTTTTCTTTTAAAACAGGACAGTATGAATATGTCATATTTCTGATTGCACTACGTAATGCAATGAGACCTGCTAGAACCCAAGTTGCTTTTTCTTAGAAGCATATTGACTGAAATCCAACATATCAATGCAGACACCGACGACTGTGATGGTGTGACCTGTCAAAATGGTGGAACTTGCGTGGACGGCATCAACTCCTATAGCTGTGATTGTGAACCTGGCTATGAAGGAGATCACTGCGAAACAAGTAGGTACCCCTATTAGGAATGGAGTAACCTGAATGAGAGATGTTTAATTGCGTTGTACTTCAAAAGACGACATTAAATTGTCTTGCTTAAGGAAAGTCATTGCTAACCATACTTTGTAATACAAGAGACCTGCTAGACTTTAACTAGTTGCTTTTAATTGAAAGTACATTGACTGACATTCCAAATGTCAATGCAGACACCGACGACTGTGATGGTGTGACCTGTCAAAATGGTGGAACTTGCGTGGACGGCGTCAACACCTATAGCTGTGATTGTGAACCAGGCTATGAAGGAGATCACTGTGAAATAAGTAGGTACAATCTTGTTCAGATTAAAGTAACCTGTATTAAAGATTTTCATTGCGTTGTCCTTAAATAAGATGATATCGAATTGTCGGCATTGAGGAAGGTCATTGCTGACCATAATTCGTTATACAAGAGAATGCTACAATTCAAGCTGCTTTTTCTTGGAAGCATATTGACTGACATTCCAAATGCCAATGCAGACACTGACGACTGTGATGGTGTGACCTGTCAAAATGGTGGAACTTGCGTGGACGGCGTCAACTCCTATAGCTGTAATTGTGAACCTGGCTATGAAGGAGATCACTGTGAAACAAGTACGTAGTCCTATTGAGAATAAAGTAATGTTAATGTATAGATGTTTCAGTGTCTGTGTATTGAACCAAGGGACAATTTCGTAACTAGAAAAGTCATTGCCGATAATACTATGTTATGCAAAAGATTTGCTAGAATTCAAGTTGCTTTTTCTTGGAAGCATATTGACTAACATTCCAATATGTCAATGCAGGCACCGACGACTGTGATGGTGTGACCTGTCAAAATGGTGGAACTTGCGTGGACGGCGTCAACACCTATAGCTGTGATTGTGAACCTGGCTATGCAGGAGATCACTGTGAAACAAGTACGTATTCCTACCAGGAATGAACTAGTTTGGATGGCAGTTTAATTGCGTTTTCTTTAAAAAGAAGACAATACGAATACCTCGTAAGCGAGGAACGTCATTTCTGATTGCACTACGTAATGCATGAGACCTGCTAGAATTCAAGTTGATTTTTCTTAGAAGTATATTGACTGACATCCCAAATATCAATGCAGACACCGACGACTGTGAAGGTGTGACCTGTAAAAATGGTGGAACTTGCATGGACGGCGTCAACACCTATAAATGTAATTGTGATCCTGGATTTGAAGGAGATCACTGTGAAACAAGTAGGTATATTGCTATTAGGAATAAAGTAACCTGTATAAAAGGAGTTCATTGCGTTGTCATTAAAAATAGAACAGCGAGCAGATTATTATTGGAATGAGCAGAGCACTTTGGACTAATGCCTCTGACTATTTACAGCTTAGAGGTACATATCCAATATTTTGTCACAATTTTCTCTGTTACATAGCGGATCATAATGACCCCCAGTGGGGGTCTTCACGCTTCGTTAAAAATTGAAAAATCTCAATATTTTAGACGAAATCTTGAGATCTTATGAGACAATATTGAGATTTTTTATGACAATCTCCAGATCTTTAAGAAAATCTTAAGATGAAGAGAAAAGGTCTCAAGATCTTTCCAAATGTTTTCAAAGTATCTTGATATTTTTCCATAGCATCTCGAGATGCTTTAAGAAATAGCAAGATTTTTAAAGCGATCTTGAAAAAACGTGAGATCTTTTAAACAATCTTGATATCTTTTAAAGCATCTCGAGATGCTTTGGAAAAATCTCAAGATACTTTGAAAACGTTTGGAAAGATCATGAGACATTTTGTTTTCATCTCAAGATTTTCTGAAAGATCTGGAGATGGTCATGAACAATCTCAAGATTGTCTTATAAGATCTCAAGATTTCGTCTAAAATATTGAGATCTTTAGAATGAATCTTGAAATTTTTCAATTTTTAACTAAGCGTGAAGACCCCCACTGGGGGTCATCATAATCCGCTATGTAACAGAGAAGTTTGTGACAAAAGATTGGATATGTACCTCTAAGCTGTAAATAGTCAGAGGCATTAGTCCAAAGTGCTCTGCTCATTCCAATAATAATCTGCTCGGTGTTATAGATGATATGGAATTATTGAATCATCGTAATTGAGGAAAGTCATTTCTCGCCATATTTTGTAATGCAAGGGACTTGGGATATGATTCAACTAGTTGTCCTCATAGAAGAACGAGATTGAATTGTCGTAATTGTAGAAAGTCATTGCTGACCATACTTTGTTATACAAGAGACATGCTAGAATATATTCAGATGCTTTTTCTTGGAAGCGTATTGACTGACATGCCAATATGTCAATGCAGACACCGACGACTGTGATGGTGTGACCTGTCAAAATGGTGGAACTTGCGTGGACGGCGTCAACACCTATAGCTGTAATTGTGACCCTGGATTTGAAGGAGATCACTGTGAAACAAGTAAGTACTCCATTAGGGATGGAGTAACCTGAATGAGAGATGTTTTATTGCTTTGTAAAAACGACGACATTAAATATTCTTGATTAGAGAAAGTCATTGCTAACCGTATTTTGTAATGCAAGAGACCTACTACAATTCAACTAACAGGAGCTTTCAGACTAATTTGCATCATCTTGTCTTGACTTGTCTGACTTTTGTTCCTTCTTCGACTTCCAAAAACTTGTCTTCACTTAATTTGCATATCAATCAACAGGTTGTGTATATAAACCTGCTTTCCCCTCTGGTCTCTCAGTCACTGACGAAAGCTAGTGGATACTAGCTGAAACGTCTGACGTTTTCAAAATCATATCCAGTTGCTTGAGTAACTGTTTTTTGGCATATCGTATTACCTGGATGTCTAACCTTCATCGACGTACAATTCAACTAGTTGCTTTTTCTTGGAAGCGTATTGACTGACATCTCAATATGTCAATGCAGACACCGACGACTGTGATGGTGTGAAATGTCAAAATGGTGGAACTTGCGTGGACGGCGTCAACAGCTATAGCTGTGATTGTGATCCTGGCTATGAAGGAGATCTCTGTGAAACCAGTAAGTGCTCCTTTAGTACAAACAAGTACAAACAAGTTAGGAATGAAGTGACTTGGATGACAGATGTTTCATTGCGTTGTACTTAAAAATGACGACATTTGATTGTCGTAATTGAGGAAAGTGGTTGCTGACCATACTTGTAATGGAAGAGACTTGCTAGAATTCAACTAGTTCCTTTTTTGAAAGAATATTGACTGATCGATGACATCCCAATATGTCAATACAGACACCGACGACGTGTGACCTGTCAAAATGGTCTAACTTTCGTGGACGCAGTCAATTACAAAGCTGTTATTGTGTTCGTGACATTCAAGTGTCATAACTCATAACGTTATCATAAGTCATCAAAACTCACCACGTTAACGTCACGTAATGTTTCTTTACTTTTTGTAACATACAGTCGAGCGAGTAATTTTACTTTTTTTATTAACACCGTTTTCTGTCTACAACATGGTCACCTATTTCCTTTGCTAATGGTTGCGTCCACATCAGCCTCCTCTGCTTCAGATCAACAGACATGTTCTGGTGTCGTCATCAGTTCACGCTGTGTATAGTTTAAGCCGCAGATACCCGGGAGTACAAAGTAACACGGACACAATTCCTGAAGCCTAGCTAGAAAGTGTTATGTGAGAGGTAGCCAACGTAACAGGTTTTGAAAAGTCACATTACCAAACTTTGCAGAATGATCTAGATAATTGTAACTATGTAACATAATCAAGAAATTACTATCAATAGCTTCCAGTTTCTGGGAAATGAACCTTGTGTTCAAATTTCAAGTTTATAAATAGCCCTATCAAATGTGTCTAATGGTAGGTACAGTACTTCAAAATACCTTCTTTGCGTTGAATTTACGTTGACAGAAAGTGTGTTTAGAAACATGTCTTTTACTCGCGGTTTCCATTTGGTAGTCTAATGAAACAGTATATATATATGTAGAGTAGAGCTGTTAGAACCCTACAGGTAACAGTACGCCAATGTCTGTCCAAGGATCTGACACTACCAGGCAGGGCTTGACCAGTCAGTTTTGTCCTTAAATTTTGGATTAGGTGAGATTAACTTCTTACAGTAGTTCCTCAATTTCTTATCTGTTGTCTGTAGATTTTAGAACGTCTTGAATAGAAAGTTGTCTTGTTCAGTGTCTTAGCAAGGTCTCTGTCCATGTTACCATCACGGTAGTCAGAGGTAGACTGTGGTCCGATAGTTTACGTTACCTGAATTTATTGGTTGCTTTTGTAGTACAAGCATGGTCTTTAAGCAATATCTAGCTTATAAGTCTACAGTAATGCTTATACGTTCGACAACTTACTATGTATAGAACCAACAGAAAATGTATTTTGTTGATACGGGCCTTGCTTTGGTCAAGATGTACATGTATTCTGGTTGATGATTCTGGTAAGAGGTCAAAAAGGTCAGTCCATTTATTAAATGCCGCGGCCACTAATATCTATGCAAACTGAGGACTCATCATGTTAAATGCGCACTATATTTGCACAATTAATGGGAAACATTTATTATAAATTAAGTTAAGAATCATTTGGCAAAGGTAAGGGGTCTTAAAATAGTTTTAACTGTTGTTTAACGTTTTTCCATCTTTATTTTCTAGTGAAACATCCTAAGAAATGGCGCGACGATGGCCGCTGTGGAGCCGGTTACACTACAGCAGACGGGAGGACCGCTGAGTGTGAGCCTGACAGTAGTAACCCATGCTGCTCTCGATACAACTGGTGTGGGAACTCTGCAGATTACTGTGACTGTGTGGGTTGTGTCGACTACCGTACAAGGGGTCTGTATTTAATGATTTATAAATGTGTGAGCGTGTCTATGTTTAAAGATTCTCTTTCATACTGTTTGTTTGTTTACAGTGTTGCAAGTCGGCACATATGAATATTATATAGTAAACATTTAACAAGAAGGCTGCATTAGTCGAGACTGGAAATAGACATTTCCATAGCTAGGCATTAGTACTGTAAGCTATATAAAAGAATTTTACAATAATATGGTGGCTCATGGATGCATTATGGTACTGTTCCAAAGATCATTCATATGACATTGATAAGGTGTCCGTGGTCTGACAATAGCATGACATGTGGAGAGAAAATTGAGTAAATCAAAAGTATCTCCTTTGTAAACTACCTTTACAGCTGTGTCTGATTTGACCTTCCTCGATATCGAGACGGACCAAATGACCCTGTCCTGGACAGCATCTGCTAACGTCACACGATACCGACTCCGTTACCGCCATGCCGGATCTTCGTACCAGTATCTGTCTCCCCCGCCTGCACCGGGCGACACCCAGGCAACCGTACGCGGACTGTGGGCGGATACAGAGTACAACTTCACCCTGACTGCGTTTGGAGAGGACGACGAGGAAATAAGAGAGATCAGTGGGACAGAGACAACAGGTAGCTAGTATATAGGTCGATGAAATGACATGGATGCAGAGATCTAGAGGCTTACATGTAGTTCTCTCGTCGTAATTGGCTAAAAGAAAGGATTAGCGTCTTTCATCAAACTAACTCTTTTTTTTATATTCCAACATTTTCATGACCAAACATGGCGACGGCACACTCACGTTATATCATCTCATTTTATGCCCCCACCAACGCAGAGTACAAATACAGGCCAGGACACTACTCATTTTCACTTGAGTGAAGACAAAAGTCTTGTTAAGTGCCTTTCCCAAAAGCACAAGATCGGTGGCATGTCAGAACTCGAGACCTCTTGGTTCCGAGTCAAGCACTCTGCCGCTACGCCACACGACCATTATACTAACTTAAAGATAAAATGCAGTAGATAACATCTTCATTTTTCCATTGACATGGATGTGAGACATGTAGATGTAATGGACATTACATGCCAAGCCAGATGCATATATCTTTTTTTCAGCTAAAGTTATCGTGAACGTGGACTGCTATCAGGACCACATGAGTATGACCTTCCCTAGAGCAGCGCTATCAGGGGCAGATGTGGACAACATGCACCTGTTGAACGACAGCTGCCGGGCGATATACACCGAGACGGAGGTGACTCTTCGGACCGGTCTGCAGGAGTGCGGGACGATCCAGGAAGTAAGTAGACGTCAGGATTAAAGAGAATATCTGTTTCATTCCAAAACGTGTTCCATTCCAAAACATGACTTGGAATCATGTGAATTAAAGGGGAATTCAGCTGTATTCCAAAACATGATCTATTCCAAAACATGTTTTAGAACACTACCAATTAAAGTGGGATGCTTCTGTAATCCAAAACGTGATCAATTCCAAAATAGTTTCGTAATGACGTTTTTTACGTACTAGACTAAACCTGATCTAAACACATACATACACTTCCAGGCAGATACTAGATGGTATCCCTGATGACCCACAGTACGCAGGACTCTTGATGCTTGGCAGCCGTGTTCGATCACGTTATGGAACATTATAAATCCTGGTCCAGCTGTGTCATGATTTGGAATGCAACCAAGTGGAATACTATAAGTGTATTACAAAACATGCCAAATTGGTCCATAAAAATGTAATACTTTCACAGATACTGTGGGCTTTCTAGATCTGTTTAGTTTTTTTGTGTGTCTCTCCTTATTTTCATAGTCGTCAGATAAGAAACTCATCTTCATCAACGAAGCCATCAGCAGTCCGGTAGTGCAAGATAACGGCGCTGTGAGAGGAGTAACCTTCAGGAAGAGGTTCCAGTGTGAGTTCGTCAGTCAGTTTGTTATCTCACAGGAAAAGGAGGTTCTCTTCAACATCCCGCCTCCTCGGTAAGTGTTTTCAGAAATGTCAGGCTGCAACAACTAAGCCTCAACTACGGACTAGAAACTAGAGCCTGTTACAATCATCTGTACCACAGTATGAGCAAAGGAAGTTCCACTCAAAATAAACTCAAGGCATCGCTAACCAAAAGATAACCAAATTCGCTAAATTTTCTACGAGTTCAAAATCTTTGAACAATCTCCTGAAATCCTGTTGACATTCACTTTGGAATGGGTAATTAGCATAGAATGAATACTAGTGATTTCTCGCCGTTATCTAATTACACACTTCGTTGTCTATCTGTACAGCTTGGAAATTGTGAATGCGAAAAACCAGTTCACTTTCGAGATGCACATGTTTACATCTCAAGACTTCACTGATACCTACAAGTCAGCCGACTACCCTGTGCAGGTGAGTTACTTCGTTCCTTCTTACTGAGATCGTTTCAGTCAAGATTGCCATGCATGTATGTTGTAACACAATAACCACATACTCCACTTTACTTGAGCCTCTCCCAATGCAAAGCTTTAATTCTTTATGTCCTTTCCTTGTTTCCGACATCAGGTGACCCCGTCTCACCAGCTGAATTTCGGACTGAGCGTGAACTCACCTCTGGACAACCTGGAGCTGCTCGCTCTCCACTGCCTCGCCACGCCGAGTACCGACCCTGACGACTCTCCAAGCGTCAGCATCATTCATGACCGGTACGTCTCTTCACATCGCTTCTTAACATCAAAAGTATCGACATGTTACAAGTCGGCGACAGCCAAGGCCAAGGATTTTAACCTAATAGACGTTTTTCTTAGTTTAAAGGCTTCCAATGCAATTTCAGGGCGGCCAAAAACAAAAAAAATATTCTGGTATGTCTGATATTGACATTTACTGCAATTTCGTAGCACAATTTTATCATCATTCCATACTTAAACCTTCAAAATAGCCCCAAAATCTCTGTGATGCGTCTCTCTCTCTCTTTTGTAACGCCCATAAATAGCTAGAACCAGCCTACGATACATTCAAGCAACCGTCAGGGACAATGCATTTAAAGAATGACAAGAAAGCTGATTTTCACAATCCAGATTTACCATTATGAAATTCCATTGGATAACTTGAAAACCAGTTAAGAGTCTGCTGTTGTATCATCATATGAGACATTCATAGTTATTTCTCTCCTTTAGGTGCGACATCGACACAACGCTTCAGTTAAACACTGACCTGTCTAACGACATGGCCTTGTACTACTCCATCCAATCGTTCACCTTCCCCAACGTTGTCGCTCCCAACCTGGTAAAATAAACAAACATGTAAAAACTTTGGTCTAGTGCTGGGCTGTGTTAACTGTCAGCTTTAAGTTCATTTCCATGCTTTAAGGTGATTGTCTCGTAGATGTAACTTTAGTCCTAAACAGTGCGCTGCGCATTACATTTTCTGTCGTTTGTCATAAGGCATCTGCTATCAATCAATCAATCAATCAATCAATCAATCAATCAATCAATCAATCAATCAATCAATCAATCAATCAATCAATCAATCAATCGATTAATCAGTCAGTCAATAAACCATGTGCATCAGATTCTAACACAAGGTGAAAACAGACATCTCTCTCCAGGATGTCCTATTTTCAGTATCCGGTTGGTTCTGATGATCCGCCCGCTACGTGTCTTGAAGACTTGGTCCTCCCACTGTCGTCTCAGGATTCAAGCCAGAAAAAAGTTTAATTTTGCATATGACAGGGTTATGAATTAAATTAGCTATTGGCTTCCTCACCTCTGTAGAAGCTTCGGCATCTACGTGTCTCTATTTAGGTGCTCTCCAGAAGGATCGTTTGTACTAACTAAATATTGTTGACTGCTTCTCGGTATTTGGATACCTTGAACAGCAATGGCGGTGCACCTTATTACTGTAAATTCTGTCCTTCCTCCATGTCAGGTGTACATCCACTGCACCATGGTGGTCTGCTTCAAGGACGACCCGGACTCGCGGTGCAGTGACGGGTGTATCCCCGCTAGGCGGCGCAGGCGCGCTGTGTCTGACATGAGCGAGGCCCGAGTGCGACGTGCGAGTGTAAGGGACCAACCAGCCCACATCATACAGGGACCCTTCCAAGTTAAAAGTGAACAAGAACAAGGTAAAGTTTGTATAATTAGAAGGTGCCAATTGCAATCTCAATCCCAATCAAATTCTCTTAGACTTAGAGAACAGTTTAATTTTCATTACCTTACGAACTCTTAGGAACTACGGACCTATAAGTGTCAATGATGTCTCTTTGCTGTTCCACAGCCTCCACCCTGCCCACTGTCGGCATCGCTGTCGGGACAGCTGCGGGGATAGCTGGCGTCCTCCTGCTGGCTGTTGCTGTCTTCCTGGTGAGGAAGAGACGTGGTCGTGACGTCAAGGAACATCGTGTCGGTAAGATGTACAAAACTTGGTTGTATATACTATGATCTGAAACCGGGTGGTCCATATTTGACTTTGACCTTTGCCTTTTTTGTTTCATTTGTAAATCCGTGACCCAGTCTTCATCCTTGACCTTGTTGAAAAGCGGTCGTATGACCGAACAAGCATATCGAGAATAAAGAATGGCATACTACTACTACTACTACTACTACTACTAAAAATAACTACTACTACTACTACTACTACTACTACTACTACTACTACTACTACAACTACTTTCGAAGACTTACCCACATACCAAATATCATCACAATTTCTTCTAAAGTTATTTTGAGCACAAAAAAGAGGAAACAAGCACACGCAGACTAACCAAAGAAATACTTCTATTCAATCGACATGTAATAAGTCACCATTAAAGCTGGTGAGAATGAGCCATGTGTAACTTTCGAAGCCCTGTCGTATTCGTGACGTCATTCAGGAGCGGATTTTAATATTAGCATAAAAATCCACCGATTATTCACAAACTATATCATACTACTATTATAATGAGCACGTATGTAGCCCCCATAGTTTAGTTCTTTACTCTAATTAGATACTATTTTTTATTTCAGGTTTTGACAACTACTCGTTCGAGCTCTGGGGAAAGGGCAAGGCTGACAACGCGACTCCCAAACCCGAGTAGTCTTGTTTTGTGTAAGGCTCGAACTTTCGGCATGAGCGATGTTCTTGTAAGAACCAAATCTCTCTCCTTCTTTGAATCTCTTTCCCTCTATCTGTTTCCCTCTATTTCCTTCCTCTCCTACTCTCTTGTATTTTCTACCTCTCCCCGTCCCTCTGCTCATAGCTTTGAACCCTCCCTCCCTCCCTCCCT